CCCCCCGCCGCGGGACAAGCCGCTGCCGGGGGCCCTGCGGTGCGGGGACCCGGTGTGTCTTGGCGTGACCACTCGTAGGAAAATAGCAGCGCTACCCACCCCCCCCCACCCCGGTGCTTTTTCCTGTGGAAAACAACCAAGCAATGCAGCAGTTGGAAACTAAATCAGAGCAGGATTTTTTTTTTTTAACTGCATGTAATTTAGTGTGTGTAGTGTCACTTTTACAGCAGTGGAAGATGAGGGGGGAAAAAAAGTGGACTTGGGCATGAGCACATCGAAAACCATCATCCTGCTGTTGTATTCCCAATGCAGTAATAAGTAGTTGGCAAGGGTGTTTTATTATAGGATACACGGTGTCCTTTCCCTCTTGAAGGAATGAGGAACAAGTTCGAGGAGGTAGTCTCTGGAGGTTGCTGTGATAAAAATACCAAAGAACTTGCAAGCCATGCCACCATAAAGCAGTTGTATAGTATCTGAGAAATGCTTTCTCAGGGAGGGATTTGAGGCACTGCTGCTGTAAGATTGAGCTCTTGCATGTAATAGTCTCCCCCCTCTGGCAATGATGTAGCTTTCAGATGAGATGATTATTACTAATTTGAGCTTAAACACGGGCATTTGCTGAAAGAGAAGCCTGTTAAATTGTGTATGTTCTGTATGTGCTTAGAGAAGGGCAGCTATGGGAAAGACAGAAGGGTGGGCCTTCGTGTACATAGGGTTTATTTTGGAGGAGGAAGGGTGGATCACTGTCCTTCCTTGCTCTGATGCTGAACCTGTTACTGTTTCAATTTACTGAGAGCTGATGTGCTCACATAAATTTTGTTGAGAGGACAGATTTGGTCCTAGTCGAGCTGAATAACAGCTGCAGTGGTTGTCACAGCACAAGAGTTCTGCAGGACTAGGTGGCTGTATAAAGAGTACTAGGGTGCTTCTTTAAAGAAGATTAACTGTATGTTAGAGAAGTGATCTAAAAGTTGAATTGCTTATGCAGAAGTTTTTCTGTGTTGCATAGAGTATGTCCTGAGTAAAGGATTAAGTCTCTAAATTGATGGGGTTTTTTTAATAGATCATCCGATGTTAAACTAAGTTGTTATTGAAATAACTGAAACAAGATCTATTGTCTTCTTGTATGTTCTCTAGAGCTGCTTGGCTTAATAATAAGACCTATTTTTCTTCCTCTTTAAAATGCATCCAACAATTTCCCACGCATAAAACTTTGGAGCTCTTAGTTGATGCCAAATACTGTCTAATAAGTGTTTGTTTTTATTTGTGGTAAATCTACTTTTTCAATATTACGAAGGTGCCACATTTCAAAACGTGAAGGCTTGAAGACTTGGTTTTCATATGGTTGGCAAACTTCTTCCACTAGCAGGTGTTTTTCCCCCCTTCTTTTTTCAGGGTGGCTTCTGCTCTTGTGCAATTAAAAAGATGGAGTTGCAGACTTGACGTAACCTTGCTGAGCTATTTTTACGTGTAAATGTGAAGATAATAGTAACAATGAAGTTAAGAGCATCCGTGTGCCCTGTCATGCTGTGGCTTACTATTTTAGTCTTGATGAGTGTAATTCAGATGTCAGTCTTCTCAGGTTCGTTTTGGCTATGTGAACTTGACTGATAATGCTTCAGAACATCTGCCAAAAGTGGGAATGTTGTGTTGAAATAAGGGGTTTTTTAAAGCACAAAGTTTTGAAGTATAATCTATGGATAAAAGGGAAAACTTAATAAGCTACTAGTGACTTTCGGACTGTGAGGTAAGAAGGTGAAGATGTTTTTTTTGTCAATATCTCATTTTTTAGATTACTTTTTTTTGCCCCTGAAATTTCCTGCAATTGTTTTCCTTATCTATGTAACTGTCACAGGTGTGTGTGAAGGAAAAAATAATGTAATGTTTATAGCTTTTAGGAGTGCTTGTAAATACATTTTGAACATGATTAAGTGGTGACAGAACCCGAAACTGCTGACTGCTTTTGGTCACCAGTCTTCCTACTAGTCGGTCAATTCTGGTAATGCTGACAAAAGAAAGGATAGAAAATGGCGCCACAGAAAAAAACCCACAGTAGTAGAAAAACTTCAATTTAAAATCAAATCAGTTTTTATGCAATCATTTTGCCTGGCAGCTAGAAAAGGCAATTTATTTGATCTAGTAATTCCTCAGAGAAATATTACCCCAAAAAACCCCAGCACTCCAGTGAAAAAAATGAAGGGGGAAAGAAGAGAGAAAAACGTGTGTGGTATCTGAAATAAGTGCAACTTTTGGATTGTTGTATAAAAACAAACCTGTGTTAATAATAGTCTTGCTTTCCTAGAAAAAGCAGTATTTATTATAGCAGGTTTATCGGGTTCGGTTTATATGTACAAGTAATGCTTCCACTTCTCAGTTGGCCAATGTGTCGTGTAATGAAGTACATACTAAACTTATATGATCAAATGTAGTGTAGCTTTGAACTAGGGGAGATGTATGGCATCCATAAGAAACATTATCATAACCTTTAATCTATAAAACAGTTTAGTGTACATAGTGGTAAATATTATTCAGCTGTGCTGTGTATGAGGACCTGTGTGCTACTAAATAATTAATTCCTTGTAATTTC